TGTTACCGATTTATAACGTAAGCGCCTATATGTTCCCGACAAATAATCGTAAGCAACTCCAAGACTTGGCGTTTGCGATTTAACATTGTGTCGCTTACGATAATATTGTGCTCCCTCCTTGATCTATCAAGGCGTTATTCCCGCTCTAAACAGTTTATCCGTGAGTATACCTGCATCGTGGTGATTGCTACCACAATCCACAATGTGGATTGTGATTGCTACCAAGTTTTAAAACAATATTTTATTTGATCAAAAGCTTATAATTCTTTTTTATCATTGCAATATTAATAGTTATCCTAATTATAATTGTTTTTACGTAGTGTGGTTCGTTAAAGGTGTTTTTTTGTAGTAATTGTATGTTGTTATAACGTCAAATAATTTGACTCAAATTTATAATTTATATTTAAATCTATAACGGTACAATGACGGCCAAAAAATTTCGAACGACCTGTCATTCAGTTGATTTTAAAATGTAAAACTGCCTTTAGTGACAACTAACCTTACTTTCTGAAAGTTGTCAGTTTGACGTATTTAATTGTTGATTGTGTTGTTTTAAGATTAGATTCTCTGTCTACTTTTTAAAACTGCTTGTCATCTTGTTAAAAATGACATAAGTTTGATGTTCAAAAATGTAACTTAAGCGACAAGACTAATTTTGCATTTTCCTAAAGATGTTCTTATAAAATATCGTATTCCACAAAATTTAATGAAAATTTTAGATTGAATTCGATCTAACTTAAATATTTGAATTCTACATTAATAAAATAATACCTCACCCGTTTTCAGATAAATAACTTAAAAAATAAAGCTCCCACACAAAAAAAATCTCTCCTGTAAAATTTAGGTTTTGTCGCTTACGATGTTTTGTCAAATAACCATCGATATTAGCTTAAGCAATGATTAGAAAATTTAGTATCTATTTTAAAAAATCCATAACCACAAAATTAAAAAAAAAAAATTATCAGTTTTTTTCTTTCTGTTTACTCAGATGAAATTGGGACCAGTTCACAGGTTAAACTTTAAACATTTAATTTGTCTAAATAAATCCAAAAGCACTTCCCTTAGTTAATATATTTACAATTTGAGCACATAACCTAAAATTTGAAAGAAATGCACTAGATTCTGTCATAAAAGTTGGCAGATTTTGTTTGAATTTACCTTCAGTACAAAAATAACCAACAATTAATAAAAACACCAAATTGACAATTTGCATTGTTAATTTTGTCATTTTTGTAATTAAGCTAAATTTAAACAATGTTTGTCAACTTCTTTGACAGATTTTGGAAACACTGTTGTTACCAACCATAACATAATAAATTAAATTAGGCAACCAGAATAGCCTAAAGTTGCTAGTCGATCAGTGGCGTACTTTTTGGTAGGATAAAGGTTATTATAAATTATTTTTAGACTGGAATTTAGAAAAAAAAAGTTTCATGTGCTTCTTTATGGACCCTAAGGAACAACCCATTTTAATATATAACATTAATTACATAACACCCTGTATATATAAGGAATATTTGAATCAAAATCGAGTACTAAACCAAAATTGTTTAGTTTTTACTTAAGCGGAAAACAAATAACGTGATCGATTTAGCTGTGCAATTGAAAATTTGCGAACAAAATTTGTCGAGTAAGACATCTGCCTTTCTCTCTTTTGTGAAAAAACTACTAATTTATTTTAAAATGTCAGTTCGTATGCTTTAAATGTATTGTTGTAGTTCAATATCCGATGCTTCTTTAGCTTATAAGTGTCTTTAAAATTTGTGTCAATGATGTTATGTTTTTTCTCTAAGACACAGAAAATTTCAATGATATTAATAATTGTTAAAAATGCCAGTTAAAGGTTCTTTTACTTGACTAAATAGGAGCACCTAGCGCGAAACTTAAATCAGTTTTAATTAATTTAGCACGTTGAATTTGAAAGCAAGCAAAACATAAATTACAAACTTATTTGTCTTAAACATCTGTAAGTAATTTCCTAAGACAATATCTTTATTGTTGATACCTAAAATGGTTCACCACAAAGCTGCGTTCTCTTAACTATAATTACTCTTAGTTAACCTTGCAAACGCCATGCAATCAAAATTTACGGAGGGACAAAGATGAACTATGAACTTTACTTTACAAAGTTATTAACAAAGTACAAGCCTTATTTTTTTAATTAATATGTAAACATCACTTTTTTTAAACGTTCCAGGAGTTATTTCCCTACATCCTTGAATTATTCTCCGTTTGAGATCTGCAATGTCAGGTGGTCTTTTCTAGACTTGTATTTTAAATGACCCTAGAGAAAAAAATCAAGTTGCTTTAAATCTGAAGATCTTGCCGGCCTTCTTGAGCACCTCTTCTACCTATCCATTTCTCGTTCAACCATTCTCTGACTGGTAAAGCTACTGGTAAAGTTGAAAGTACAAATGTCCTTCATCAAGCAACATGGTTCTTTGTTCGTCCATCTGATTTTCTAATGACTGGGTAATAAGTGGGTCCATGACAGTTTTAAGAAGATCAAGATATAATTGTCCAGTCAAGTTTTCTTTGATAACAAGCGGTCCAATTATTTCTTTGCCATGAATACCAGCCCATACGAGGTGTGTTCAGAAAATAACGGGAATTGTTAAATTTCGCGGGTTCGGAGGGTCCGGTTGTCATAAAATGTTCTTTATTATGTTGGTATACATGCCCCCGAAGTATGATAAAAACTTTAGCTGTTTTCATTGTTTACTTTGTCTGTGGCAGCCGCAAAGGTTAGACGTGTTTTATGAGCTCGGCGATTTTTCGTTCGTTAAAAGAAATGGATCAAAGACTTTGTATCCAATTTTGCTTAAAAAATTAAATAAATTCTGTGAAATGTTAACAAAGGCCTATAGTGAGTCTGCTATAAGTAAAACAAGAGTTTACAAGTGGTATAAGAGTTTCCAAGATGGCCGTGAAGACGTTGAAGATGACGAACGCCCCGAACGCACAAGCACATAAACAACCGATAAAAACATGGAAAAAGTGGAAGAAATGGTTAAACCATCAGAGAAGTCGCTGATGATGTTTGTATATCGATTGGCTCATCCCATGAAATTTTTTCAAATGTTTTGGGTATGAAACGCTTGGCAGCAAAATTTGTTCTAAAATTGTTAAATTTTGAACAAAATTTTTGGCCAAAAACAATACTGTAATGATTCTCCAGCCTCCATATTCGCCAGACATGCCTCTGTCTGACCTTTTCCTATTTCCAAAATTAAAGAGAACCTTAAAGGGCCGTCGTTTTGCAAGCATAGATGACATTAAAAGCGCATCGCTGAAAGAACTAAAGGCTATCACAAAGATCGAGTTTTAGAAGTGTTTCGAGTATTGGAAGAAGAGCTGGCACATGTGCATAATATCCAATGGGAACTATTTTAAAGGCGACAACATTAATGTAGACGAATAAATAAATATTTTTTCAAAAAACGAATATTCCCGATATTTTCTGAACACACCTCGTACATTGATTTTTCGAGGATACTATGATCCTCTCGAAAAACATGTGGATTTTCATTGTCTCGATACCTATAATTGTGTTCATTCACAAATCCATTTAGAAAAAAATAGATTCATTACTAAAGCAAATATTTTTTAATAAATTGGGAGCAACCGTACTTCTTTGCGTCATTTCCTTACAAAACTGCATTCTTCTGTGTTTGAGTTGTTGGCAAATTTGATTTTATAAGGCAAAATTATAAATGGTTGCTAGTTTTTAATTGAAAACCCTGTATAAGGTTTACGATTTTTCTAAATTTGAAAGGGCGTCAAGTTTTTCACAATTTGAGTATTTTATTTATATTTAAACATAGTAGTGAATACAGTAGTTATACGACGAGTTTAAAAAATATGTTTCGTGCTTTGACTGAAATGAGGCAATCAAAGTTCGATTTGTTCCGTGCTTGCGTACATGTTTGGACATGTCTGGGCCAAAATCTCTGCGACCGTCTATATCCGCATTTCTAAAAATACAGTTTTATTTATAGGTTTGCCTAGTCCGGTTTCGTTAAAATTAATTAAAAAATTTATTGACCAAAGAGAAATATGTAGTAGGATATGTTTTGGATAAGACCTTCTGTCAGTCCTGGGGTTCCTAATCCTAGGATCAACAGGGCTTTGATTATAATTATAATATATACAGGGTGCACCCAGGTTTCCGTCTATGTGTATACATATTTTTATTTTTTTTATTTGAAAAGTTAAGTCGGTTTCATATAGATGCGAACTATTTTAGGGACATTGTTTTCTCTCTAGGCGAAACTTTTTAGGCTATTTTAGGTACTAAAATAGTAAAACTTCAAACACTTATTTAAACAGTTCGAATAAAACTTAACAAAACAAACACTACGATACAAACAAAATAAACATAAATGGCCTAAGTATGATACGCATTGCATTTATGTAAAAATTAATTCGATTTTTGCAAAATATTGGATCAATCTTAAGATTGATTTCTGTCGAATCGTCAAAACACTTTTCCCGCCAAATCAAATGGACCAATGGGAGCATTTTTCGCATTTCGCAATCTATAGATATATATATATATATATATATATATATATATATATATATATATATATATATAAAGTCGGTTTTATCAGAGAAAATCTGAGAAATTAAAAGCGTATTGATATTAAATTTGAAAAAAAAAACAGTTTTTAAAATAAAAAAAAACACACAAAATCTGTTGAAACCAAAATTAGTTATTTCTAATTTTTTTTAAAAGTAGGCTTTACTTGAGTTACCACAACCATCTTTTGTTTTTATAATGACTGCCGTAATTTACTACAAGTGTAATACATCATTGGATTCTTTATTTTTTTTTAAATAACCATACATCTATCCAAAATGTTGGCTATAGGAAAAACAAAAAATGGTCGTAACTTAAAATATAGTAGCGAAGAAATTAAATACAAATGTAGATACATGTGAAGAACAAGAACAAGAACAAGAACAAGAACAAGAACAAGAACAAGAACAAGAACAAGAACAAGAACAAGAACAAGAACAAGAACAAGAACAAGAACAAGAACAAGAACAAGAACAAGAACAAGAACAAGAACAAGAACAAGAACAAGAACAAGAACAAGAACAAGAACAAGAACAAGAACAAGAACAAGAACAAGAACAAGAACAAGAACAAGAACAAGAACAAGAACAAGAACAAGAACAAGAACAAGAACAAGAACAAGAACAAGAACAAGAACAAGAACAAGAACAAGAACAAGAACAAGAACAAGAACAAGAACAAGAACAAGAACAAGAACAAGAACAAGAACAAGAACAAGAACAAGAACAAGAACAAGAACAAGAACAAGAACAAGAACAAGAACAAGAACAAGAACAAGAACAAGAACAAGAACAAGAACAAGAACAAGAACAAGAACAAGAACAAGAACAAGAACGAGAACAGAAACAGTCAATGATTATTCTTTCTATTTTATAATAAATTAAGGGACTTAATTTTGGTTTTTGCAATTGTTCTATAAAATTTATATATTGGAGTTACCTTTAGGAAACAATAGTAAATATACTATTGAAAATGGCGTTTATCAAACTTGATACATAATAATGTATCAAGTTTGATAAACGCCATTTTAATCACGCACTTAATTTAAATGAGTGCCTAGAAAATTTTATAAACGAGATGCTTTTTCAGCGACAAATACTTAATATTATCTAAAAAATTATTTAAATTAAATATTTTTATAAAGCGACATCTATACGAAAATAAAATTCCCACCCCAATAAACATTTTTGAGGTAATTTTCACCATTAACGTTATTATTTTAATTAACTTGAAAATCTTCCGGCGTTAAAATCTCAAATTTTTCTGTGCAAAACAAAATTTATCCCTTAAAGAATAACAATCGATATAGAAGCAGTTTTTCACAGTAAAAGGGAAGAGAATGTTTTATGGGCACTGTACGCAAAAATTTTAACGCTTTATCAGTTAAATCTTGTTAACTGAACTACTACGGTGAAATAAAAAGGTCAGTACAAACGTTCATACAATCTTTTCAAATATTGGCGTCAAGAAATATTTAATACTCTTGTATTTTTGTATTGGGATAATAAAAAAAATTATATTTAGTATTATTTTACAAGAAATGCACTTTATTTTAACGATTGTAAGACATTTGACAACTGTCAACTAAAACTTCAGTCCGTGACTAAAAACCTGTTGCATAAAGCCACAACTTATCAATGTGTACCTAAAAGGTCATGAAAGTAGAAAAGAATAAATTAATTTTAAGTTTGTAACTTTAATTCATTTTTATAAGCTAATTTTGTTCCACCGTGAATCACAACGCTAACAAATTACTTCTTCAATTATTCGAAGCAAATGTCTATGCTCCTATAAGTGAAACGAAGGATACACGAGTTTAGGTTGTTGAAGAGACTTGACATAGACGTGAACCTTGTTTAAAGCTTTGGAATTAAGATGAAATAATTACTGCTTGTAACTTTTCATTTGCGGAAACAGTGCATATACAAACAGTGCGCACGTTAAAAGTCTTCCCCTATGTTATTTTTTTTGCAGTTCAAATTTAGTAAATTTAGTAATTGAGCATTTGAGTTTTTTAAACTAATAATTTTTATTAAGAGCACTTGGATCAGAGAAAATACTTTAACAAGTAACGTCATTAACGAAAATATACAGGTGATATGTGACATATTAATCAAACAATAACTAAGATAAAAAACATGAAGTGAGAATATATTATACAGTGTATAAGTCCGGCGCAAAAGCAAACAGTTTGTGATCGTTTAATTTGAGTAAAGAGAAATAATTTATTCATTTGTATACGAATCATACGTATACGAATAAACTTACTAATTTGCAGAAATGATACAGAACAGTTAAATAGGTAGGTACATAGTGAATATGTAATTCTTGTTTCCACTTGCTTTGAGTATACTCATAATATATTTGACAAGTGAAGTTTTCAGACTAAATAAAGTTTAATTATTTTAGTAGACATGCATTGTTTGGTTTATTTTATTATATAATAATAATTTTATATACCTATGTTAAAAATATAAAAAAAAATAATTTACCTTTTTTTCTGGGTGACGCACAGTGTTTCAATTCTCGAAAATATCGGCAAAACCTCAAAAATTGACATTTTTTTTAGGTAAATTTTGAGATATGGGTAGTTAATACCTGTCTCCATCCTGTATTGAAAAAATTATATAAAATACGTATATTTTGTCTTGTACATCAGTTTAAACTTGACGCTTTCAGTTGAAGGTACTTTGCACGCGATCGCTGCGGAAAATTGTTTATTGTTTAAAAGTGAATAACTTGTGTTTGGTGTGTCCTATTGTTATGCGGTTTGATGAAGGGTGATCTATAAGATATGTAAAATTCAGATATGAATTTGTTTTTCGTAGATTTTGCTTGTACAACGGGTTATTGTAACCGACAAGATCGGTCTGTTAAAATCGCAAACTTTGAATCAAGCTTTTAGAACAATGGAGCTACAAAAATTGTAATGAGTTGTAAGGCGTCAGTTCAAGATCCGTTGAATAGTTTTGTCTCTTAAGCCATCAATAAATTACCTGCCCCAACTCGCCCCCGGCTCTTTAAAACTGGGCGCTCAGGCACGGTTGTGGTAAAAAACGCGTATCTGTGTTTTTGCTTTACAAAATAAAAGATTTTTTTTATTTCTGGGTTGCGTTCATGACGTTTACTCGATTCACTCGGATTTAACTCAAAACGTTTATTACAACAGCGGTGTCTAGACTTTCACTTGCGTAAATCGTTCTTGACTATAGTATACTAAGATATTTAACACCGATTTTACATATTTAAACCACCTCTTGTAGGTGCGTTAAAACAACTCCGCATGCGCATTGTAGTGTGTTAATGTCAAATTGGAATTGTGGTTATTTGTGGTGACAATTTTTTTAGCGAATCCAGGGACGAGATTGTTTAATATAAAATTTAATTATAAAAAACTAAAATGTACTAGCGTGATTTTATAAAAAAGATGTTTTATTTACATTTTAAAAAGAACCTCTTTCGGGATTTTAATTAATTTCGACAATTTTTTGATAAAAATGTCCGCCATTTGAGGTCCACAATTTTGAATTTTGGAATTCTGATTCCAGATTCATTACCAGTGACCACAAAAACCCCTGTAAGGTGATTTTCAATTTATTCCGTCAATTTTTTGACAAATATGTAGGCCATTTTGGATCTACCATTTTAAATTTTGGAATTCTGATTCCAGATTCATTACCAGCGACCACAAAACCCATGTATGGTGATTTTCAATTTATTCCATCAATTTTTTGACAAATATGTCCGCCATTTCGGATCTATAGATGATATATCATTTTGAATCTATATACCGATTTTTAGGAGGATCCGACTACTCCTTAATATTTTGCCGAAAATTTCGAGAATTGAAACACTGTGTGACGTCACTATACTATAAACACAACGCCATTCCAATAATAAAATATTTCAATTGAAATGACAAAAAACCTTTTGTATCTTGTTGTATCTGAGTAAGTTTTGGTCCATTTTTAATGGGTTATTGGTAATAAATTTAAAATTTGATTGGCAAATTTTAATTTTAACTATTTGAAAATACATATGTGATTATTCCAAACCCTTAAGCCTTATATTAAGATTTTAATAATATCAAAAACTCATTTTCGTCAAAAACAACAAAGTGGAAACTATGTAAACGTTAATTTGTTAAGTTGTGTGTATTTGCAATTTTAAACTCAATTAAACTCTAATTATAAACACAAAATATACAAAATTGTTATAATTTAGTTTTTTTATTTATTTAATGCAAATTATGTACAAAAAATAATCAAGTTGAAAAGTAATTTACTTTACGACTTTTAAGTTATTAAATGCAAAATTTACCTTTTAAAGTGCAGTAAATTTGATTTGAGTAAAAACGTTTCTATTTTATATTGCATAATATTATTAGGAACTATAGTGCACTATGATAGTGCTGTATAAAATATACCAATTTAACTTTCTAATAAAAAAATAGTTTTTATAAAAAACGAACGAATTTTATAAAAAAACAAAATTTAAATTTAAGTATTGAACAAAGTAGAAAATTTATAATATTATACAGGGTGGCTCAAAAGTTTTTAATTTTAATAAAAGTTGTTTGGTAGTTCATTTCGAATTTTACGGTGTTATTGCCAACTTAAAAAAATTAATACGTAGCCCCCGAAGGAGGCCAACTTTTTTTTTATTACAAACCCCTTTTTGTATCAGAATTTGAAAGAGGCCTTCTTGATTTAAGATGTCAAACTATCTCCACTGCAAATTTTATCAAAATCGGTTCATCAGTTTTCTGGTGGAATAAATTATTCAAAACTTTTAAGGCAGCTATTGTGGACATGACTGACAGATGTATTTTGTGAAATTTTGTTCACAATCAAATCAAAACAATAAAAAATTGACTTTTATCATTTAATTTATTATAAAATAACTCCATCCCGCACACCATGGTGTGTCGTTAGTGTAAAGTGACCAGATCCTAAAAGTCCAAAAGCGGGACAAAGTTACAAAATTGTCAAAAATCTTGTTTTCATTTTCAATTTATAATTAGGGTAGTGATAAATAAAAAATACTAAGTGGTTATACAAAATATGTAATGAAATACAAAAAAAAACAAAGTTTAAACTACAAGTAAAAACGACAATCAGTATTCTGATTTTAAATTTTTAATACCTTTAACATTTTTATTTATATTTTTCATTTTGATGAATTTTTTTTAATAGGGGCTTATTTTTTAACTCATACAGTCTCCTTTAAAATTATATTTAATAGTCACTAAAGCTTTTAAAGTTTCTACAGACAAATTAGTTTTTTCGGTGGTCCAAATTTTATTAATCATAGAAAAAACCCGTTCGGTAGAAGCGTTTGTACCGGGCAAGCATAATATATATTGTACTAATTTTAAAATATTATTGAAAGGAATGATATTTTCCTCGAAATGACTAAACATTTCTACCCATTTTTGATCTGTTGGGAGTTTTTTGCTCATTCCAAAAAATAAGTTTACTCTCAGAAACATAATTATGAACATATTGAGTCTCATCAAATAAATCATTTTCAACTATGGTGCATTTAGGGAATTTTTTTAAAAAACTTTTTTGTACTTGTTCCTATGTCGGAGCTTTTTTACTACTGTACTGGCTTAAATATTCTAAACAATTAGAGTAAAAGCTAATAGTCTGAATTTATTGAAAGCGGGACAAAAGCGGGACGCTTATTAAATCGGGACCCTTAGCTCAGAATCGGGACTGTCCCGCCTAAATCGGGACGGATGGTCACTTTACGTTAGTGTGACTTTTTGGAGACCCTGTACACTATTTTCAACCACGTGGCGTTTGTTAATTATTTCATAATCCCGGCTAGCTCAGTCGGTAGAGCATGAGACTCTTAATCTCAGGGTCGTG